GTGTTCCCTCTCAGATGGTCTCTTAATCTCCAACGTACTGTCGCATGAGATGCGAAAAACCAAATCACAATTTTTCGCATTTCATTTCATACAACAGGTAGGACTTATAACATTAAAAGTCTTATTACCTGCAATAGTCGATATGTAGTTTATCTTTTTAGAGTGCCCCTGTAAAAAACAGTACGTTGGACATACAACGCGGAGATTAATGCAGGCCATAGATGGGTTGAAAATCGGCCAATTTTTCTTTTAAAAAAATGAAAAAAATCAGTCATTCAAGTGGCCCACTTTACCAGCAACGTAGAAAAAAAAAAAAAAAAAAAACAAACGGCCGATTTTCATCCCGTCTACAGCCGGCAAAAAGTGTCCCTGCAGGAGAGCTCCGCTATTTCTTTGACAGTTCTTTGACATTTATAGCGGTTTGCAACAATGTATCTATTTGTATCCATTTAGGATACAGATGTTTTGTTTTAATTTGGAAACCAATAGATACATTGTTGCAACCGCATAAATGTCAAGGGACTGTCAAAGAAATAGCGGAGCTCTCTGCAGGAACACTTTTTGCCGGACTGGAATTCCTCTTCTTCATCCTCTTCTTCTTCATCCTCTTCCTCTTCTGCTTCCTCTTCTTCATCTTCTGCTTCTTCTTCTTCTTCATCCTCCTCTTCTTCTTCTTCTTCATCCTCCTCTTCTTCTTCTTCTTCTTCTTCATCCTCTTCTTCTTCATCCTCTTCTTCTTCATCCTCTTCTTCATCCTCCTCTTCTTCTTCTTCATCCTCCTCCTCTTCTTCTTCTTCATCCTCCTCTTCTTCTTCTTCTTCATCCTCTTTCTCATCCTCCTCTTCTTCTTCTTCATCCTCCTCCTCTTCTTCTTCTTCATCCTCCTCTTCTTCTTCTTCATCTCTTCTTCATCCTCCTCTTCTTCTTCTTCATCCTCCTCCTCTTCTTCTTCATCCTCCTCCCTCTTCTTCATCATCCTCCTCTTCTTCTTCTTCATCCTCCTCTTCTTCTTCTTCATCCTCTCTCTTCTTCTTCATTCTTCATCCTCCTCTTCTTCTTCTTCTTCATCCTCCTCTTCTTCTTCTTCTTCATCCTCTTCTTCCTCTTCCTCTTCTTCTTCATCCTCCTCTTCATCCTCTTCTTCTTCTTCATCCTCTTCTTCATCCTCTTCTTCATCCTCTTCTTCATCTCTCTTCTCATCTTTTGCTTCTTCTACTTCTTCATCCTCCTCTTCTTCTTCATCCTCCTCTTCTTCTTCATCCTCCTCTTCTTCTTCATCCTCCTCTTCTTCTTCATCCTCCTCTTCTTCTTCATCCTCCTCTTCTTCTTCATCCTCTTCTTCATCCTCTTCTTCATCATCCTCTTCTTCTTCTTCATCCTCCTCTTCTTCTTCTTCTTCATCCTCCTCTTCTTCTTCTTCTTCATCCTCCTCTTCTTCTTCATCCTCTTCTTCCTCTTCTTCATCCTCCTCTTCTTCTTCTTCATCTCATCTCTTCTTCTTCTTCATCATCCTCTTCTTCTTCTTCATCCTCCTCTTCTTCTTCTTCTTCATCCTCCTCTTCTTCTTCTTCTTCATCCTCCTCTTCTTCTTCATCCTCTTCTTCCTCTTCTTCATCCTCCTCTTCTTCCTCTTCATCCTCCTCCTCTTCTTCTTCATCATCCTCCTCCTCTTCTTCTTCTTCATCCTCCTCCTCTTCTTCTTCATCCTCCTCCTCTTCTTCTTCATCCTCCTCCTCTTCTTCTTCATCCTCCTCCTCTTCTTCATCATCCTCCTCTTCTTCTTCTTCATCCTCCTCTTCCTCTTCTTCATCATCCTCTTCTCTTCTTCATCCTTCTCTTCTTCTTCATCCTCCTCTTCTTCTTCATCCTCCTCTTCTTCTTCATCCTCTTCTTCTTCATCCTCTTCTTCTTCTTCTTCATCCTCTTCTTCCTCTTCCTCTTCTTCTTCATCCTCCTCTTCATCCTCTTCTTCTTCTTCATCCTCTTCTTCATCCTCTTCTTCTTCTTCTTCATCCTCTTCTTCCTCTTCTTCATCTTTTGCTTCTTCTACTTCTTCATCCTCCTCTTCTTCTTCTTCCTCCTCTTCTTCTTCATCCTCCTCTTCTTCATCCTCCTCTTCTTCTTCATCCTCTTCTTCTTCTTCATCCTCTTCTTCTTCTTCTTCATCCTCTTCTTCATCATCCTCTTCTTCTTCTTCATCCTCCTCTTCTTCTTCTTCTTCATCCTCCTCTTCTTCTTCTTCATCCTCCTCTTCTTCTTTTTCCTCCTCTTCTTCTTTTTCCTCCTCTTCTTCTTTTTCCTCCTCTTCTTCTTTTTTCTTCTTCTTTTTGTCTTCCTCTTGCAGGTCACTGGTCATGCGCAGATTTTTTTTATCGGTAAAAAGATCGACCGATTTGCCCATCATTGCCACGAAAATCGGCCGATCGGCAAAATCGGCCGATTTTTTTCAAACTTTACCGATAAAAAAAAATCTGCCAAAGTACCAAAAGCAGCCGAACAATTAGCCCACTAACGATCCGAAAATCGTCCGATTTTCGACCCATCTATGGCCTCTGCATAAGAGACCGTCTGAGGGAGCACATATATAATATTAAAAAGGGCTTCAAAGAGCACACACTCTCTAGGCATTATAGGCAAACACCACAACAGAGATCCCACTTCTCTAAAATTTGTGGGAATAGACATCATTTTGTTCCACTGGAGAGGTACCCATAAGAAAAGATCCGTTATCCCAGGCTGAGACAAAGTGGATTTTTGAGATAGATTGTCTCCTCTTTTACCACTATCCCCTCCTTCCTAGATTGTAATCTCGAAAGGGTAGGGCCATCGAACCCCTTGTTTATCGCATATTGTATTGTCATTGTACTGTCGCATGTTTCTGTCTCCCATTGTAATGTACAGCGCTGAGCGAACTGTTGACGCTTTATAAATACTGTATAAGAATATATATATATATAATATATATAAATTTTTTTTTATATATATTTATACATTTTTACCAGTTATCGAATATTCCTGTTTTGTATCCTCCATGGGCCGTACATTGCATTTTTATGTGAGGTTTTAATGTATTCCATGTTTAATTTTTTTCTCGATTAATTTTACATATAGATCTATTTATATTGATTCAGCTGGTGTTGAAATTGCATATTTTATTTTAATTTATTTATCTTTGTTGTACTATACATTCTCTCTGGAGTAGACCGGTTTTATATTATAATATATATATATATATAATTTTTTTTTTTTTATACATTTGACATATATCCATATCCCCCATTGGGGAGGAAACCATGTGGGGGCTGTGTGTGTATGTACATCTATACATGCATATATTTTTTGGGGTTTATCACAAGCTATGCCCCAGTGCCTTATTTGTTAGGCTGTGTATTTCCCAATTAATTTGAGAAAGGGCGACTACATATGCGCAAAAGGCTGTTTTATTATGACCTTGTTGCCCCCTCGTTTGGACAATATTTGTTTCTGTCCATGCTGCCCCCTTGCTTTAGATACTGCATGGGTATTTCTGGGAGGCTGGCTTCAGGTTCCCCCTCAATTATCTACCGCAATACGAGTATAGCTGTCATCGCTGCCCCGTACTGTAAATAATGAAAACCGGACTACCGCAAAATGGCGCATCGCCGGACTTTGGCAAGATGGTGCGGTCGTATTGCGCATGCGCGGGCATTATCTGATTGAGCCGCATGTGTTGCGCATGCGCGGAGCGCTGCGCAGCTGAGCGAGCGCTACTGCGCATGCGCGGGCATCTTACAACACTCTCACATGCCTGCAATGATTAGGACAATACAGACATTATATAAATACATGACGCACGGCACTGGCGTGATGGCCATTCCTTTCTGATGATGTGCTATCGCACGAAAAGCGTTAAAGGGGCCTGCACGCCGTGATGTCTATTTGCACATTTGGTCAGTAATTCTTTTTACTTGCTTTTATTTATATCTGAGTTATTTTACCACGTGGATTAATAAATACCAAGTTTAAAAACTACTACAGTATGGGCCATTTCTTGCTGGCTCTGCGGTGAACCCCATATCTGTTCTAGAGCCCGAGCATCATAAGCTTGTGACACCTGATACCGCTCTAAGGATGACGTAGGCCCTGATGTAGGCTACCCAGTATCCTGTCCATTTCCCAGAGGGAGGTAACAGTCTGGCCGGTCTACACCCAGAGGAAGGAGAGTCCGCTAAACGGCCCAGCTCGTCCATCCCATCCCATGAGGGGGACCTCTGGTTTATCACAGGCGTATTGAAAATACGCATCTGGTGAGTGCACATTTTCACTATTTGTCACCAGATGACAGGATTGGAAAAGTCACTATCAACTTCTGAATAGTTCACCTATCACGAACTGTCACTATTTGTCTGTTCATTGTTTAACACTTTATTGTGGTATACTGATATAATTTTTTTGTAAATATATATATATACACACATACATACATACACACATATATATATATATATATATATACACACACACACACACACACACACACATATATATATATATATACACACATAACACACAAAACACACATGTTGGGTGTGCCTTATGGGTGTAATGAATTAATTCTTAGGGTATAATTGTGTGCCAAAATAATGAATGTGATAAAAGTTATTGGTGCTGAAAATTTTGTATAAAAATTGTCACCAAAACCCCGCTTCAAAAATGCTTATGACTTTTTTCAAAAGGGCATTCAACTATACCAATGTGTTTTCTACTGGTCTTTACCTGGCTTAGACTATTGTGACAGAGTGTAAATAACCTTGTAGGAGGTGATTTCTCTTACCAATAATGAAAACCAAGAACTCTAAAAAAAAAAGAAAAAAGCCTCTTCTGCCTATAGTTTCAGAAACATGTGCCTAATCATATTCAGCCCTGCTCTTAAAAAGCAATGAACGTTTTCTACAATTATGTTTTTAGCCGCTAGTTATTCAGTGTTTCCTATGAACTAATGCATCTTCATACCTACATACCTCCATTAAAAACACATTGTGTTTCCTGGCAGCAGAGATGAGCTCATTTACTTCTGTGAGGTTCATGGCCAGAGGCTTTTCACACAAAACATTCTTTCCTTTTTCCATGCACATCACCCCCAAATTCCTATGGACTGGATGAATGGCACCAATGTAGATAACATCTGAGAAAATGGCAGAGCAAGTTACTTAATTACAGGTAAAAAAAAAGATTAATGCTTAAACCTTATTCCTCCAATTTCAGTGCAAGTTTTCAAAGCTGTTGCCTAAAGCTAGTGGAGGCAGATAAATAAAGGCTCAAATGCCTGTAAAACCAGCTTTTTTTTTTTTTTTTTGAGCTGCAGTGTGCATGAGTCCTAACAGTGCAAGCAAGGTTCTGAGAGGTGTGCGGTTTAAAATGCATTGTGGTTTTAATGCATGGTTTAAAAACCACTTCCATACTGGGTACTTTTGCCCCCTTTCAGCTTTCAGAACTCTCAAAGTTTGAATGACAATTGTGCGGTCATGCAACACTGTACCCAAACTAGATTTTTATAATTTGTGTTCGCACAACTAGAGCTCTGTAGACTTTGCTCGTTGGAAGTGCAGCCGTACAGAAGTGCATACTGTAGTTTGAACAGCAGTAGTTTGAAAACAGCAGGAGTTTGGAAACAGCCAACTATCTTTGGTTAGTACTTTTGTTTGAATTTACATTAAGTAAATCTTTTTTAAATGTCTGATTTAGTTCAGTGCAGTACTTGTTTGGCATTTGTTTTTCATGGTGCTTTTGGAAGCTGGGATGCTGTCCTATTTGTATGCAGATTTCTAGCCTACAGTACTTGATGACATTGCTTGTCTGAATTCACTGGTTAGTGCCCTCCAGTCTGAGATGAATAGGCTGTCTAAGCTAATTTGTTCTTTTGAGCTGCCTTGCAAAAAGCCACCTCTTCCTCAAAGACTGCGCAAGAAAAGGAGAGTGTGGACAACTGTTGGGTCAGAAAGAGTGAAGTCTGTGTACCATAAAATTGTAGCTTTTGGTGTAGCACTGCACAACTCCTATAGTGTTCTTTCTAAGCTAGAAGCAGATACAAAGATTGCAAACGCAGCTGATTGTGAGTATAGGTTCCATTCCAGGCAAGTGTTGTGGAGAAGGCTTCCAAAAGGAGAAGCCATCTTCTTGTTGGTGATTCAGTTTTAAGAGGTGTTTCTTTATGAAACCATGTGGAAGTGTCAAAGGAAGCTAGAGGTTTACCTGGTGCTACTGTCAGGAAAGATAAAAGGTGTATTTTAAAAATTGTCAAAAAAGCTAGAAGAGTGCAATGTTGATGTCGTCGTGCACCTTGGCACAAATGATTTGTCCCAGAATGATGTGTGTTCTGTACAGAAGGATTTTCAGTTTTTTGGACAGGATCTTCAACAGTTAGGATGTACTGTTAAATTTTCGGAGGTCGTATTACCTGTGCATAATGGACAAGAGAAAGTACTTCATATAGCAGAGTTCAATGTTTAGTTAAAGGATTTGTGCAAGGCTGAAGGTTTTGGTTATGTTAGTTATGATGCTATCAGGTGGTCTGACATTGAGCTGTACAAAGGAAATGGTCTGCATCCCTCACACAAGGGCGCTGAGCTTCTTAGTCTGGAATTTAGGAATTTTTTGGACATGCATTTAACTGCTTGCCACCCTGCCACTGTATATATATACGTGAGCAGGGCGGCACTCAGGCGCAAAACCACATTTTAAAACGGGTTCCTCGCTCCCGACGTTTTCGCCGGCAGGGGCGCGCGCTGGCTTGGCGGACTCCCACCAACCCGCGGGTGACACCATTCGATCCCGGAGGGATCAATCATTAGATTTCAGCCAGTGATGTCTGGCTGAAATCAGATGATCGGTCCCTGTCCTATCCTGTCCTGTGTTGAAGTTTACACAGGACAGGATATGATGTCATTCTTCTCTGCCTGGACACATTCCGTTCAGGACAGAGAAGAAGAAACTGTAAAAGTGAGTAAAAACACTACACATTTACAGTTAGAACACTCTAGGTCACATTTAACCCCCTGATCGCCCCCCCCCCCCAGTTAACCCCTTCACTGCCCTGTCACCAGTCACTGATCACTGTATCAGTGTCGCTGGTGACTTCTGATAGTGTTAGCGCCCCTCCCAGATAGCGCCAGTTTGCCCGCCAGTACACCAGTAATCCCGTTTAAACCCCTTAAATCCCCCCCCCCAGTTAACCCCTTCACTGCCCTGTCACCAGTGTCACTGATCAGTGATCCGACTTTTACTGATCACTGTATCAGTGTCGCTGGCGACTTCCGATAGTGTTAGCGCCCCTCCCAGATAGCGCCAGATTGCCCGCCAGTACACCAGTAATCCCGTTTAACCCCTTGATCGCCCCCCCCCCCAGTTAACCCCTTCACTGCCCTGTCACCAGTGTCACTGATCAGTGAACCGATTTTTACTGATCACTATATCAGTGTCACTGGCGACTTCCCATAGGGTTAGCGCCCTCCAGATAGCGCCAGTTTGCCCGCTAGTACACCAGTAATCCCATTTAACCCCTTAATCTCTCCCCCCCCCAGTTAACCCCTTCACTGCCCTGTTACCAGTGTCACTGATCAGTGAACAGATTTTTACTGATCACTGTATCAGTGTCGCTGGCGACTTCCAATAGTGTTAGCGCCCCTCCCAGATAGCGCCAGCTTGCCCGCCAGTACACCAGTGATCCCATTTAACCCCTTGATCGCCCCCCCCCCCCCCAGTTAACCCCTTCACTGCCCTGTCACCAGTGTCATTGATTACAGTGAACAGATTTTTACTGATCACTGTATCAGTGTCACTGGTGACTTCCGATAGTGTTAGCACCCCTCCCATATAGCGCCAGTTTGCCCGCTAATGCACGGGATTTTTTTTTACCAAAAACATGTAGCAGAATACATTTTGGCTTAAATTTATGACTAACTTTGAGTTTGCGATATATTTTTTATAGCTGAAAGTAGAAAATATTGTTTTTTTTCAAAGTTTTTGTGTTTTTTTTGTTTTTATAGCGCAAAAAAAAAAAAAAAAAAAAAAAGCGCACAGGTGATAAAATACCACCAAAAGAAAGCTCTATTTGTGTGAGAGAAAAAGGACGTAAATTTCGTTTGGGTACAGCATTGCATGACAAATTATCATTTGAATTAGTGTAGCGCCAAACAGCAAAAAAAGGCCTGGTCATTAAGGGGGGTAAATCCTCAGGAGCTCAAGTGGTTAAACAGAAATGGGGGCAGAGATGTAATTGTTAAGGATCATTTCTGTCACCAGCAGGTTGAAATAAATGTGAGGGTTTGTGTTGCGAAGGACTGGGCTGATGGGGTCACTTCGGTTAAAGTTTCTAGTGGTAAAAATAAAGCAGTAGATAGCAGTGTGTGTCATGTTATGTGCACTAATGCTCGTAGTTTAGGCAACAAGCTTTGTGAGCTGACAGCTCACAGTCTAGGGACAACTTGGACCTTGCAATTACAGAGCTGTGGTTCAAGGATTCAAATGACTGGGAAATAACTATGCCAGGGTATACACACTATACAGGAAAGACAGAATAAGGAAGATGGGAGATGGAGTTGCCATATATGTCAAAAATAGCATAAGGCTAACATTAATTCAAAAAACAAATGAGATACTCAAAACCCCTGGGTCTGCCTTCCAATCTGAGAGGGATCTTCCCTTAGAATTGGTGTAATGTACAGACCCCAGGACAGACTGAAGATTATGATAACTTGTTGATTGATGAGATAACGCAAATGGCAATGAAGGGGGAGGTTTTGATTCAACATTCCTGACAGTCCAATCGTATCTCCCTGATGAAGCCACGTGACCCGGTAGCGTAACGCATAGGGGAGGGGCTCTGATGTCACGACGCACTCAGGAATAATGGCGAGTATAGGAAGTGTGCAGAGCACACACAGAGGAATAATCAACTGTCAAAAGCAGTTTTATTATAAGATAAAAGTGAGTGGAATGTCATTGGATGCAATAATAAAGTGTTACAAAGGATAAGGCACTATGTTCTCTTTTATTGCATCATTAATATGGAGAATTAAAGAGTGAAGGGAAAGGCAGTACAGTATAAGACCCCTGGAGGACAGGGTCTATTATAGGGATCAGCAAGCCTAAGAGACCCCAGGTGGAAAATTTAATTACTACAACTTGCAACTCATCAGTCCCGGAAGTAAAACTACCATTGGAAAACATCTCATCTGTCCACTTAAGGACAAAAAGCTGTTTTAGCCTAATTTTAAGTTAGGCTAAAATTAAGGTGAGCGCATAAGAAAATATCCAGTTTCTTCAGAATATTATCACGTAGTGAACACAGCATTGGATTTTATGTTAATAATTGGACTTTTTTGGATTTCATTTTTTCATATATATATATTTTTTTAAATTATAAATTTATCACAATCACATGCTGATTGATTTATATTATTTATACATTTATTTATCATATATTTTTTGTGGATCATATAGGATTGAGCACATATTGTGCTTTTATAAATGCAAAATTATTTATTTAGTGGAGCGCGGCACATAAATATTATTTAAATGGAATTCTCAAACTGCTATTACAAGCAGGAGCAGGGATGTAATGGAAGCACTGAATGAGTACTCTCTAAAACAGTTAGTAAAAAGTCCAACCCGAGCTTATTCTAGACCTAGTACTGAAAAATGGGAATCGACTACTAATGTTGAGGTGGGAGAAAATTTGGGTTCTAGTGATCACCAATGTCTTTGGTTTGATATTAAAATAAGAACTGAAAAATCATATACAAAAACAAAAATGTTTTAGATTTCAAAAAGACTAATGTTGCTGAAATAGACGAATAGACGAGGAGTTGAAAGGTTGAAGTAAAACACCAGAACTAAGTAATCATTGGGCACTGTTAAAGTCTACCATTCTGGAGGCAACTAGATTCTATGTCAGGCAAGTTAGTAAGAATAAACAGAAGAAAAAAAACAATATGGTTCACTAAAGAAATAAGTAGGACAGTAAAAGAAAAAAAAAAAAAAAAGGAAAAAATCAGCATATAGGAGATTCAAGGAGACAGGAGGTGCAGCGGACCGGGAAGAGTATAAGAATAGATAAAAGGAGGCCAACACATTATCAGTGCTGCCAAAGCACAGAAAAAGGGGGAAGTTGCAAAATCTATTAAGAAAGGAGAAAAAAACCTTTTTAGGTACATTAGTGATAGAA